CTATGGCTTACTGTTCTGACATTTATATTTGCCTGTGTAAAGATCAGTCTTCATTCCTGATACTAAAAGAATTGGTACTACATATAAGCAATGAGTTAAATGCAAATATTCAGTAGAAGGGGGATGAAAAGAGTAAGGAAGGACTTCAATAGCTCAGACATAGGTGAGAGGTTTATTGCAGGAGTGGGTGGGTGAGATTCTGTGGCCTGCATTGTGCAGGAGGTCAGACTAGATGATCATAATGGTCCCTTCTGACCTTAATATCTATGTCAGAATTAAGGTTGCCTGTAAAATGAGAGTTTTCTTGGCAAAAAGTAGAGATTATGACTGCCACCTGTGTGAAAAGTGTAGAGTGTCCAGAGTGGTTAAAAAAAGTATGCTTTTTATTGAAATCAGATTTTTTGTTTTATTTTCTTTAAAAAATAAGCTTGTTTAAAATTAAATTTGAAATTTTGACTTAGGTGCTAAGCTTATGGTAATGTATAAATAAAAATATGTTGAATTAAGGTAAGAAACCTAGAAGAGGATAATAAAGTGAACTTGAAACCTGTAATAGATGGGTGTAGGGTCAAACATGTACATAGTCCAAGAATAAAACAAATTTTTGAAATTGTAAAATACTTCTGCAAATCACTTTGCTTCTGCTTCACTGAAGACAGGAGGAGGATCAAAACTAATTCTCCCCAATGATGCAAGATGGAATTCAGAGGTTGACTATTTTGAGCTGTTTATTAAAAACTTGCCTATGCAGATGAAAATTTGTGAAGAAAAGCAGGGCAAAATAGACGGAACTATAGCAGCCAAAAGTAATCAACGTAAGACTGAACATAAGAGTACAGAGAAATGTAGAAGATATGCTAAATATACTGAAACCTGTTTCTGTAGCCTTGGACAAATTGCAGAAAGATAGTTGATCTATTGCTGATGCTGTTGAAATTTGGAAAGACCTTCAAGCAACACTGCAGGATATCCAACAACAAATTTAAATTTTGCAGTCAGTGAGCAAGCAGATGGAGCAAGCATTTATTCCACCTAATTTTCTTGCTAGTATGCACAACACAAAGTACCAGGGTAGATGCCTAACAGCCAAAGAGGAAGATACTGTCATAGATCTGGGCATCTTATAGTCATCCATCCATCCATCCATCTTGCCATCCATAATAAATACCAGGGGTGGAAGGGACCAGTGTTCAAGCAGTACATGTTTACTACTGAAGTTCTAAATTGTATTTAGAAATACATTGTATCCTGGTTAGCAAAAAGCATAAAACTTAGTGTGAAGTTAGTTAAATTTAATTGCAAAGCAAGGTTTTAATGATTAACAAATGAGAATGAACTTTTCTTTAGAAAAATTAAAAAGTGCAAATGTAAAAAGAGATTAAAAATGAAGGCTTATATCAAGGTTTCTGCTTGCCGGTTTAAATCATTATTATAATTGGCAATTTAAATCACTTTGATTTAAACCAGTCCATCCTAAAAGCTTTAGCAATTTTTTTTTTTTTTTTAGCCAGACTCTTACAAATTGTAACTGAGGTTTTCTGGTCTATGAAGTTATGGATTCTTTCCATGTGGGCATGGTTTCCAACCCCGTCTCTGCGTTAAATAAAACCTGTGGGAATATTCAGTCATAAAAACTGTGAGTAGTAAATAGCATTGCTTCCTCAATTATTGTGGAGAAAAATTTGAATAGCAGCTAGCCTTAAAGGCGATTTGTAAAGCTAAAACAAAAACAATTCATGCATGGATGCATACTGAATGCCATCACTAACCAGAGTATGGAAGGCTTATACAAGGACATTAATTTAATTTACCTTGGGGGGGGTGGGAGAAGGAGCTTCCTTCTACGTATCTTCTGTGTTTTGTTTTTAAAGCTAAGCTATTAACCTACATCTGTACTGTCTGGCTGCTGGAGGCATTCAGTTTGTATTTTCTGGGCTTAACTAAATTTTCATTGGATTTATCCAGTTCACCTTTAATTATTGACAAGCTCTTTGCCACTGATAAGCATTGGTCCCTGGATTCTGACATTGTCAGCACCAAATGCCAGATTCTCGGCTTCTGATAATTCCTCAGCACAAAAAAACAATGTAGTACATATTAAATGAATTTTAAAAAGTTGCTAACTGATAGATCTCAAACAGTAATTGTATATTGTTAATCGCCATCTCTTGCAGGTAGAAAAAAAGACATGTTTAAGTGATGGTAATTATCTATTTGAACAAATAACTGAAAGTGTAGTGGATTCTCCGTCACTTGAAGTCTTTAAAACGAAATTGTCTTTTTAAAAAAGAAACTGTGGCTTAATCAGAAGTTATGGCTTTGTTGCAAGAATTATGGAGTAAATTTCTGAGACCTGTGTTGTGCAGCAGATCAGAGTAGAGTATCATAAATGGGACCTTCTGGCCTTCAACATATTTGAAATAATGCATCTTTTCCTGAAAGGTGCTTTCCACTATATGTAGACCATGTGTATGTGAGCAATATTTTAACAATGGCACAAGTTGCTACTTTGCAACAATAATTTTTTTTAATATGGCACCTCTAGATTCTAAAATTATCTGAACTTTTTTCAGTTCTGAGTGTGAGGTTACTGTTACCTGGGTATTGTTGTTTTTGCCTTCCATTTCCCCTCAAAAGGATTGCATGCCTTATGGGATATCCTTGTGGATTGTGGGGCAGATGGCATCTCTCCATCTGTCTTCAGCTTTTAAACTAATGGTCTAAAGATATCTTGAGTTAAACACTTTCCATTACAGTAGAACCTCAAAGTTATGAACACCTCGGATATGGAGGTTGTTCGCAACTCTGAACAAAATGTTGTGGCTTTTCTTTCAAAAACTTTTACAACTGAACATTGATTTAATACAGCTTTGAAACTCTACTATGCAGAAGAAAATGCTGCTTTCCTTTTTTTAGTAGTTCACGTTTAACACAGTACAGTACTGTATTTGCCTTTTTTTTTTTTTTTTTTTTGGTCCCTGCTGCTTGATTATATACTTCTGGTTCCAAATGAGGTGTGTGATTGACTGGTCAGTTTGCAATTCTGGTGTTTGTAATTCTGAGGTTCTAATGTATTTTCCTTCATCACTTCCTGTTCCTTTTCTTGATCTGGGAAAGCCTTTATATACCTAGAGTTGACTGTTTTAGACAAGAATCAGCAGAATTTACTAAACACTTAAATGAAAATACATGCTTGGTAGCTGCATCCATATTGAAGGTGGCCTGAGTAGGAAGATTCACCTAGATGTGTGTAAGTGACTGCCATCAACCTTTGTTCAAAATTATGGGCAGAACAGGAGCCTTCAGTTGGATTCTTTTGTATTTTCTGAGCCATATTGTCTGTGATTGCCACACTGGCAAGGTAAATCATCTTACCAATTTAGTGTATGTACAGTAAAGCAGGCCACAAACTTCTTTCTTTCTTGATGTTCACTTTGAAGCTTGGCGTCCTAACTTCCTCCAGTAATCCTTCTTACTGTCTTTGGCTGCTGAAGTTTTACTCATTACTTGTCCCTTTAAACCTTGTCTATGCTGTACTTCTAATAGAACCTCCAGGAACTTGGTTACAGCCTGTTTCCAATTTATAATGTAGATAGTTTCTGTTTGTCTCTGTCTGTTTGGCAGTAATTTCACTAGGAAAGGGACTGTTGGTTTAGGTGCTTGAGATAACAAGTTGCATTGTAGGCGCTGTGACAAAACTCTTCTTATTGCAACTATAATGGCTTTAGAAATTTGAACTTAAGAGTTTTTTCACCTACGAGTGTGAACCCATAAGCAGTATATCTTATAGAACCATTCAAGTAGGCATAATCTCTTAACCTTGCTTCCCAGATGGAGAAACTGAAGCAGAGCAGTCCAGTGACTTCAGAAGGTCAAAGTATATTAGTGGCAGATGAAAGAATAGAAACCATGTCTCGTGACTCCCTCCCCAGTTCTAGACCTAGTCTTATCTGCATTGGTAGTTTTGGGGAAAGCTTCCTGTGTCTCGCTTCCATCTGTCCAGCTCCACCAGAGTCTAAAACTAGCAGATCTCATTCTTCTATACACCTCAGTTTTATTCATACATTGGAAGGGGAAAACAAGTTTTTCCACTGGATCAGCTCTCTTTAGTTTCTTAACTTTGAATGATCCTAGTCCAGGGGTGGCCAACCTGAGCCTGAGAAGGAGCCAGAATTTACCAATGTACATTGCCGAAGAGCCACAATAATACGTCAGCAGCCCCACATCAGCTCCACCCCCTCCCCCCATGCCTCCTGCCTGCTGTGATCAGCTATTTTGCATGCGCAGGAGGCCCTGGAGGGTATAGCGGAGGAGGGAGAGCACAGCATGTTTGGGGGAAGGGGCGGGGGCGTTGGAGGAAGGGGTAGAGTGGGGGCAAGGCCTGGGGCAGAGCAGGGAGTTGAACAGTGAGCACTCCCTGGCACACTGGAAAGTTGGTGTCTGTAGCTCCAGTCCCGGAGTCAGCGCCTATGCAAGCAGCCGCATAATTAACCTCTGAAGAACCACATGTAGCTCCGGAGCCACAGGTTGGCCACCCCGATCTAGTCAGTGACTAGTTAAATGAACTGCAATGAAGAAAACATTCTCTCTAAACCTGCACAAGAGGCTACTGCTATCAAAAGCTGATTTAGCACTTCAGCAAACTCTGGTTCCTGGGGCTTGGCCAGTAACTTCAATCAGTTGAGTGGTTTGACTTTCTTTAAAACTTTGCAGCAGACATGTATGGCTTAATATTTTTTAATTTTAATTTAAATTATTAGATTATGCTAAATGTGGGCCTTATAATAGATTATCATTTAAATAGATTTATTTTTAAAAATGTAATCTCTATTTAATTTTTAAAAAATCTGATTTAAGTATATTTCTGATTTTTTTAATTGATTTTTATCCACTCAGCTTTTTGAAAATATTTTTCCTAAGGTGGTGGTGGTTCTAATTTTGCCTTTGTTTTGTAAGATAAATGCTTCTTTCAGACTGACATTGTCGGGTTTTTGTTTCAGTGATGTTTTGGCACTGCCAATTTTCAAGCAGGAAGATTCCAGCCTTCCACCAGACAGTGAGACCAAACATCCACCGTTTCAATATGTTATGTGTGCTGCAACATCTCCAGCAGTCAAATTGCATGATGAAACTCTTACTTACTTGAACCAAGGTTAGTATGCATCTTCTGCATATGTTTACCGTGGATGTAGCTTGATGAATGTTGGGATGCTGGAAAGTATAGGGATGGTATCTTCATCTTTAGAATTTCCATGTGAAAATGAAAGACCAAGAGTGCTGGGGGAGGTTTCTGCTTACAGCTTATAGCTTTGGCTGTCAATTTCAGTGACATCTAGCAGTGCTCATGGTATTCCTCTTATGTCTTTCCTGACTGGCATGCATGCCAGTATGTCCGACCCTTGTGACATAGGTCCATTTCAGCAATTTACCATGGTCTAAGGGTAATCTGTAAATATGCATTTTTTTAATTAAAAAAATAAATGTGCATTGCATCATATTTGCTTTTATCTACATATTCCTTGATAGTTTAATACAAATTGCTTGAATTTACCAACAATAAAAACGTACAGTTGGATCATTTCTTTGGTCTGCAGTTATATGATGAAAGTGGCCTGGGGCTGTATTCTATCACTTTTGTTATGATATTACTAAAAAGTTACAGCATGTCTAATGTTCAAGTTGACTTCAATGGGAGCTGCTTGGTGCTTCACACTGTAGAAAATGAGGTAGGTAGGCAGGCATCTAACTACAGGCACCCAATTATGAAAATCTTGATATTGATGTCACAGATATCTGATTCGTCATTCTGCGTTTCTGCTTGTGGAAGGATACATAAGCAAATCCTCATTAGATGAGTAACTCTCAAGACTGCACAGGATGCTACTAAAATAAGGCTTTCGCAACCGCTACATAGGGATCAGATAGGACTTGCCACTACTGATCGTATTTTAATGTTCTGTTCCCCATTGGCTTCCTAGGAAGTCTCCTTCTACCTTAAACTTAAAGCCCAAGCACTAGACCACTGGGACAATCTAAGAACAGGTAAGAAGAGGTGGTAACAAAATGCATCATGAAATTTCAGGGTTGGGGGCAGAGGAGTTGGAGAAGCCAGCATATATGCAGAGGGTAGTAACTAAACGTCCAGAAGGTTAAAAGTGCACCTAAAACAGTAAAGTAATCTTTTAGGTATTACTCTACAAAAGTATTTTGGTAGCTACAAAGCAGTAGGAGCACCTAAAACCAGAGAAATCTAAAACTTTAATATTAATTTAAGTTTAAAGGCGGAGGGAATCCTTCTGGGAGGGGAACGTGTAGGGATAGAAGAAATACCACTACTGAGAGGAGACTCTGCAAGTTATTGGAAAAAGATACTGAAATTATTTTGCTTCATGGAAAACAAAGGTCAAGCTTACTTATATGTAATGAACTAGATAATCAAGCTTAAAAGACCTGCTACCGTACTAATATGACAGTGAAGTGTTATTTCACATTTTAAAAGATACTGTGAATTTTTTTGTACCTGCAGGTAGCACTCAAAATGAATATAAATAGAAAGATTTGGTATAGGTGGGATACTTCACAATTTTTTTTAACTTCATTCATTTGACAACATTTTATATATAATAGGTTTACTTGTCTCCCCTTTTTAGCTGATCAGTTTCTCTGTGTGGTTTTTCACCCAACAATAAAGGAAAGAGACATAATTTTTAAGAGTATGAAAATGTGATTTGTAAATGCCCTCAAATGGGGAAGGAGACATAGGGACAGATGTTACTATCTGAAACTAATTTTAATTAAAATTGAAAAAATTGACTAGACTTTAAGGTGGTGTCCTTTTTTATATATGGTTGGTTAGGTTAGTTACTTGGCTTTTTGTATTGAGTGTTTGTTTTTTGAGATACTTCAAAAGTTAAAATCGTGATCTTTAATGGCAGTTAGCCAGGGCTCAAACATCTGTGTAACAATGTAGGTTACTGTCAAGTCTTGGAAAGCTATTTATGACTAACGTATATTTGAAAGGTAAATGCAGAATGTTCTATCTGGGCAAATGTTTACACAATAACACCAAAATAAAGTACTTTACTGTCTGTCTCACTTATAGGAAGCCAGTTAGATTATTTGTCATGCGAGTCTCTCCATTTTATCTAGTAGCCTATGATAGAAAGATCTGGGGAAGGCCTTTCCACTAAACTTCACCAGTGAGTAGACAAATTTGGGAAGTTTTTCTCTTGCTGAGCTTAAGGGAAGAAATGCTGCCATAGTGGGTAAGTTAAAAATAAAACCTATAAGCCAGAGGTTCTCAAACTGTGGTCCGTGAGCTCCATTCCCTCTAAGGTGCGTGTCTGGGCGGCTGCACATAAAAGAATGAAGGGCCACCCACTTAATTAGTGGAGCTGCACAGACATGGCTCCACTAATCAGGTGCCTGGACCCTGGAGAAGAGACACGTGTAAGGTGAGATGGTGGCCTTGGAGGGCAATAAAGGGCAGGTGGGAGGGGGCAGTGGGGTGAGAAGAGAGAGGGGGGGAAATTTGGGACATGCAGGGCTGTGGCGGCCAGAGAAAGAGGCAACTTTCCCCAGCTCCAGGGCTGTGGTGCCAGGGAGAGACTGCCTCCTTCCCAGCCCCAGCTCAGGGGCTGCTGCAGTGGGGGAGAGCGGGCACATCCATTGCATTAGAAAGGTAAGACTACTGATAATAAAATATGAGTTGTGTGCTTTTATTTGTAGAACAAAAAAGTTAATTATTATAAAGTTGTTTTTTATATATATATAGCGCTTTTATCCAAAGCGCTTTACAATAGTTAGCCAACATTATAAACAGCATTTGGAAAGATCAGTAGGTGGTCCGCCGAGACCCTCGGCAATTTTCAAGTGGTCCGTGAAAAAAAGTTTGAGAACCACTGATATAAGCCATTAGCAGTCTACTAATACCTTATGCTTTTTGCTGCAAGAAGGTAGCCTTTTGCATTTTATTATTTCCACGTCATATGATGGTTTGGTGCTTATTGTTTTGATTAAAAGAAAAGGCAAGGAGAATTAGATTTCTTTCCAGTGATATTCCCATTTGTTTGCTGTTTGTTCGTTTTGCAGTTTTGGTCCAATATTCTGCGTGAATACAGGTACAGGCTTTAAATCTGTGAACAAATTGTCAGAGTTCAGCATTTCTATATAAATAAAATGTCTTGACTTTTTTTTTTTGCCATTCACTGATACCAGCCTTCTGTGTTTGATTGTGAGACAGTTTTACTGTTACTAAATTCTTCTGTGTAGTCAGTTTATCTTTGTATGCTATCTATTAAAATTTAAAAAGGGTAATAGAACAACCAAGCAGGGTTAGGAAGTTTCCTTTGGTGTGAGGTCTAAGTAAACTGTTGGTTTTACTCTTGCAGTTTTCGGAAAGGGTGAAGGTAAATTTTTCTGAGTGGTGGTTCACCTTCACAATATCTTGTAAGTTCCAAGGTTATTCCCTTTCCTCCCCTCAAGTTCGTCCCTTCAGGAACCCTTTTTAGTGTACCTAAAGTTATCCTTTCATGATCTTTCTAGTAGGCTATTAAAAGACCTTGATAAATGCAGTAAACTTATTTTGAAACCTTATTTGAAGTGAGTGACTGATACAACCACCACTGTGCTCCTCCGTGTTCTCCTTTTTTTGATATTTGCCTTCATCCCCTGCTCCAGTTCTTCTTATTCCTGCTATGTCTGTTAGTTGATCTTAATGCTTGTGTTAGGACATGTTTAAGTAGCATGAGACTGTGCTGTTGAAATTCAGGTTAGTAGATGGAAATGTTTTTTACTGTCTGAGGCCCAGAATCTATGTATGCAGACTGTACCTACATTTAATACTGGCATGATGACAGATGATATCTTCGGATTTCCACATGAATAAGGTCACTGTGGATCTCATCTTGTGGTGTTTATATTTATAACCTACTTTCTCTGTATTTGTTTTAAGCACCTTGAGAGTAATAGCAGTTTTTACGTGATTTGAATACAAGACCATAATATATTCTCTGTGTTATGTAAGAGGTCTGATTAGATCATAATGCTCCCTTCTGACCTTACAATATTTGGAGTGGGGTATGTGTGTACTGCATGTATTTGTTTTGGATCTTCCAAGATGGAAGGGGCCACATATAATCAAGAAGGATTTAACTGAAATAAATGCTTCTAAGAAAATATTTTACATGTAAGTACATTGTTTGGGCTCTAAGTACAGAATGTGAAAGGGAATTTGTGTGGGACTATCCTGTCTGGGTCTTTCAGATTGCATTTCCATCACTGGTATCTCAATGAAGAATATATGTAATTTTTTTATGAATAGTTCAGGAAAATACCTAAATTTATTATAAAAGCAATGGGCAATATTATGAAGGGGCTGTGTTGTGCTAGGTGTTGCACAAGGTTAGTAGATATGAGGTCCTTGCCCTAAAGAGCTTAGTCTAAAAGAAATATAAATTGTTACAGCTTTGTGTAGTTTTGTAAATAGCTTTGTTGGCTAGTCATACATTTCTTTTGATCCTCTAAGCTAGTGTTTTGGAATCCAAATGTTTAAAGTTATTTGTCTTTATAAATACTTGATTAAAGTTTCTGGGATAGACCAACCACTAATTGAAAGGGTTCAGAGAAAACTTCCTCCATAATTGTCCATTGCAATGTTCTTACATTTTCCTTTGAAGCGTCTGGTACTGGCCACAGTCAGTGTCTCAGTATTTGATGACATGGTCTGATTTTCTGTGTGACAACATTCAAGCACTAAAAGCTTTGCTCCTGGACTTCTTTGGAGTAAATGTAGTAACGTTTAATGTTTGATTAGATTACTGGGTGTGAGGATACATTAAAACTTTCAGTGATTTTAATCTAAGTGAATTCTATGCATCTTGGGTATTAATATGGTACCAGTCACTGTAGTATCTAAGCAAAGGAACTGAGCTGTGAATTTAGCTGATTGTCAGTTATGTCTTAGTTTCATACATCACTGGTTGTCCTGAATATGTGATTAGGGAATGCCAAAGCATGGTAAGTTTTTTGCCCTGAATCTGCTAGATATGGCATCTGCTAACGTACTCCTTAGATAAACCCAGACTTTACTCTTAATTACATAATGCTTCATCCAACCCGACCAGCTGACAAGGTGATATAGGCAAGTCTGATTCTCAGTTGGTGCTGACTGAAACCTCTCCGGGCTTGCCTACACTGCAAAGTTAAGGCAACGTAAGGCAGCCTACGTCGACATAACTATGGAGGTGTACAAACTGCAATGTTCCTCCCGCTAGTTTTTACTGTTCTACTGTGCCGACGTAATAAAACCACCTTGACAAGAGGCGAAGCACTTAGGATGACATAGTGTCAGTGTAGACACTGCGTTGCTTATGTCGCCCTATGTGGCCTCCAGGAGGTGTCCCACAATGCTCACTGTGACCGTTCTGGTCACCATTTTGAACTCCGCTGCTCTGCAGCCAGTATACAGGCATGCACCCCTATCCTTTTAAAGCCACAGGAAGCTTTGAAATTGCTCTCTTTGGTTGGTGTGGAGAGCTCATATAGCTACTGCCCAGCTAAGCATGCCAGCTCCACACAGCAAATGTGCTCCTGCCAGGAGTATACAGGAGGTGCTGGATCCCCTGGGTCTGTGGGGAGAGGCGGCGCTGCAGGCAGAGCTCCACTCCAGCCGCAGGAACTTGTTCGGGGACTGGAGGAGAAGCCCTACAATCGGGACATGCAGCGGTGCTGTGTAAAAAGTCAGAGCTGCGGCAGGCATAGCAGAAGGCAAATAGTCACTGTGGTGCAGAGCTGCAGACGTGCCGCTTCTACAAGGAGGGGTCTGGGATCAGAGTTGTGGAGTTGATGGGAGGAGCAGTCGGGGTGCTTAACCTCTGCCTCTGGGAAAAGAGGCATGGTTTTAAGGAAGAATGAAAAGAAACAGAATTAACGTTCCCTGGACAAGTAAAAACAGACATCACTGGCATTCACATTTTCAAACAGATGTCAATTGCGTAGGGTTAACTTTCTGATGGATGGAGGAGGTAACACAATGCAAACAAACAATACCAGACTCAGCACCCTACAGCAACACACATTACTGTGGTTCATTGTTAAAATGCTCCTTCAAAGCCTCCCTCAGCCAAATAGGTCCCTGCTGAGCTCCTCTTTTATAGCCTGGTGTTCATAACACTCAACAAAATACTTAAGAACAGTGCAGGATCCATACTTTCTGGCAGAGATGGCTGGCCCGCAGGTTACCAGAGCAGTTGAAAATCAGCTAGAAACCTAGTAGGATGCCCATGGAATGATGGGATTGAGAAACCTGCATCATGTGACATTGAGCCTGTCCCCATGAGGCATTGCAAACCCTTCCCAAAACAACCTGCGGCCAGTTGCACAGTGGGATAGCTACCCACGGTGCACTGCTCTCTGTGTCAGTGCAAGAGTTGCTACTGTGGATGTGCTTCACTGACATAAGGAGCATAGTGTGGACATGCAACAGCAGTTTAATTACAGCGGTGGCTGTACGTCAACATAACTAAGGTCAACTTAACTTTGTAGTGTAGACATAACCTCAGATATTGAAACAGTCCTGGTTATTGCCTCCTGGGATTTTGAAAGGCTCAGATGAAAGAGGTAAAATTAAGATCTACTGAGTAAATCTGTTAGGGTAGTGGCTTAGAGGTGTAGGTGGGAATTTTCTGAGTTGTGTGCTTTGCAATAGGATGTGGGCTGAATGGATAGACTCCAGAATGTTGTTTGATCCACAGATTTCATGTGAATGCTATGAAGGGTAAGGATACTGCATGAAAACAAAGTTCTTTGGCTTCCTTAACACTGCTTGCCTTATAGCTTCTATGAAGGCAAAGGAAGGTTTGATTTTTGTGTGTTTATGATAGACCCAGGGACTTCTTGTTATGTTGCCTTTACTCTGGTGGTATGAAGAGTGGAGATGGAGTACAGGGAGGGGCAGCCAGTAAGACCAGTGCTCCTCCCAGTGCCCTTCTAACTATACGAGTGGATGTGTGCCCAAAACACTCTATATAAAATTCCCCCAGTATAGGTACAGCTGCACCATTGCAGTGCTGTATGTGTAGACCTGGCCTTAAATTTTGTTAGAACAAAGTAAAAGATACATTTGACTTCGATTTCAACAAAAAATAGACTACTAGGTGTGATTGAAAGAAGAGGTAGCAAAGGGTATTTAAGAAAGAAAGGAAATTGTTTTTAGGAATAGTATGGATTCATTTTCCAATTTACTGAATACTGTAACATTTTAAACTACTAGATTTACTGTAACAAATGCTTGATCTGCTTTCCATTTTCCTTCTCTGGTACACATAACATCATAAAGTGCTTACAATGTGAAAGACCACCAGCGTGTGTGTGTAGAATATATATATAAAATTAAAAAAAAATACAGGGTTCTGGTGTACACTAAGTGTCACGCTTTTTTAACTGGAAACTCATAGTGGGGAGTAATTTCTTCCTAAAAGTTACGGAGCAGCGGCATGAGTGTGGGATGAGGAATTGATTCTCGAATTACTTGTTCTGCTCTTTCACTGTTTATGAAGGATGTAAAGCTGATGCTTTTCGCTTATAGCCTTTGCTGGTGGTATCTGGTAAAACAAGCCAGTAAATATAATGTTTGTGCAGTTGATGTTGGGGAATAAAGAAAGTTTAGGAGAACTCAAAATGGTGGAATAAATCCAGTGCATCCTAGTGAACCTTTTAAGATCTCTGTTTACTCCTGCCTCCTTGAATAGGAACAAATTTAGCCTTGCCAAATATGTAGTGTTTCAGTCTAGGAGGAAAAATGCTCCTTATCAGTTTTAGATAAATTGCTCCTAGCTTCTTTTGTACTGAGAAAAACTTAGTAAAGGACAGCATGACTCATCAAGCTCTTGCTTATTGAAGTAACTCTTTTAAAGACTGCCACTTTTAGAAAGTTATAGGAAGGGATTTTACCTCATAGGCAGCATGTGTTTAAGGCAAGTTAAAATACAGGCAATCAGTACATAAATGCAGCTGTAAACGGTATACACAGTACTTGAATACATGGTACTTGTGAGAATATTCTATTTTGTCATCAACATACTGCCTTTCAGCTATTTCAGATAAAAAGGAATTCAGCTTTCGGTGTGGTCTATGTTCCTTTCTTCCAAATAGGAATAAACACTTGCACTAGACATAAAGTAGGATACCTAGGGTTTGGAAGTATCAGTAGTTTCAGCAATATTGTAAAAGTTTCACTTTATTCTTATGCAACCAGCTAGAAACTGAAAACTCCCTATGAGAGTTCCTTAACCTTATGTTACTACAACATGCTGAATATAAACCAAATGTTCTCTGCGTTAAACAGAGAGAGAAGCTTTGTATGTCACCGTATCATTGATACAAACTTTTTTCTCTAAAGGTCAGTCCTATGAAATACGGATGCTAGATAATCGGAAGATTGGAGACATGCCGGAGACCAGTGGAAAGCTAGTGAAGGTGAAGTAGAGTTGTTCTCTAGATAATAGTAATGAGAGATTACTGCTGCTTGCCAAGTTAGTCCAGTGGTTTTCAACTTTTTTTCTACTCTTACTCCACATTGCAACAGGAAAAAAATTTGGAACCCTTTCTCCCCCAAACCTCTTAACCTAACCATAAAGAAAGTAGAAGCAGTCACAACCTGCAGGTTGAAAACCTCATAGCTTACTCTGGTTGGGAGCCAGGGAATATTAAAGGAAAATTAAGTATTTTCCTTCTAGTTAACATGGCTGGATAAAATCAAATCTGAGTGACTTGACATAATAACACTTAAGTGGTATCTTAAATCCATGGTGTGCACACGTTTCATACTCTGTCCACTTATAGTCGCCCCATCTCAAAGGATATAGTGGAACTGGAAAAGGTTCAGAGAAGAGCAACAAAGATGATCAGGGTTATGGAAGCTGTTCCGTTGTGGGAAAGGGAAAATAACATTTGTCTATTCACTTTTTCCACTCTAGTCATATTTGTTTAGACTGCTATCATATCCCATTTTAGTTGCCTGTCTTTTTTTCTAAACTAAACAGTCCTAATCTTTGTAGTCTCCCCTGGTATGGAAGCTGTTCATATTTTGAAGGAATGCTATCAAGATGGTGGTTCTAAAAATCAGATATTCTTTTGGTCTGCATATTTGGTTTTTACCTTCAACTGACCTGCCCTGCTGACAGAAGAGAAGAACATCCTATATGTATATAGGAAGGCCCATAAGAAGGCAGTTTTAAAAAACCCTAAATGGTGTCTCACCTCTTAGATTTCCATTGCAACCCATCTTCTATCTTGCAGGATTCAGTCTCTTTGGGATAGAGACTTCATTATTTTGATTACTGTGATCGTGACTGTACATTGTCTGCTCTGAATAACAAATAATTTTTTTAATCACAGTTGAGCATTATTAGGGAGAACGGTAGCTGCTCCATAGTTAAGATTGAAGACTTGTTTTCTATTATAAGCCAGTTAAAGGGCTTTGGAATTTGCAAAGTGCAAGGTAGCAGGCATCAGCAGGAGCCCAGCATAGGTAGCTTACAGAGCTCTGCATACTTTTTCTGGCACCAGAGGATCAATCAGTTGTGCAGGTCTCTGGACCTAATTCCCAGATGGCTTCCATGAGCCCCTACTTCCCTTTTACTTAGAAGCTTTGCAGGGTGTTCTCCTCCTTACCTCCCTGTAGCTGTCATAAATATTTAAAAAGAAAACAATGAGGAAACCAGACACAATCATTGTTTGTTTAAAATTAATATTGAGAGTATGTCATAACATACTGGTTTTTTGTTTGTTTTTTATGTACAAGACTGTTGTAGTTTAAACAAAAAAACAGACAAAAGCCCTTTGGAATTCAGAGCTGAAGTTAAACTTCAAGAAACCTAAACGTCTGAAAGTATGAAATTAGCACTTTGACTCTGTCCCGTATAAAGCTTTGTGTTTTGCTGTCAGTTATCGCATTTTGCAGATAGAGGAAGCTGAAGCACAAAGATTTATGGGCTTGATTTTTTTCAGAAGTGCTGAACACCTGCAACTTCAGTTGAAGTCAGTTGGAAGCTGTGAGTACTCATCACCTTAGAAAAACAGATCCTAAGTGTCTTGCCGAAGGTAACGCAAGGCAAGGATATGAATTAAACCAAAACACTGTATTTGAGTGCTTTGTGCATTTGGCAGCCCTTTGTGAACCGCCAATTTCTCTTTCCCCCGTATAGTAACTTTCCCTGTTCCTGTACATGTTCACACAACTGGGTAGAGAGAGACTTTTTTATTTTTTGAGAGAGAGATGATGTGGTTGTAAAACCACAGAATTTAGAAGGGCTACTCAGGGGCATGCATAGTATTTGAAACCTATTTTTAACTTCTTAAAAAAATGTCTAGATTTCAAAGTAATGGTGTCCTTTTGTAATCTTTTAGATGAACATTGTATCTAGAAGAGTGGGAATAGTTCTAGAATTGGCAGTTTGTCAGTGCTAACTATAAATTGAAGTCCTCCTTGTGTAGTACAAGGTCTTAATGTTTATCTAGTAATACATCTTTTTTACACAAACACATTGATTTATCCATTTATTAATTTTCTGAACTGTTGGAGTCACAATTATACTTTAAATATTTCAACTAATGCACTCCTGTTTAGAAATTGTACAAAACACTTTTTTGCAGATTTTTAGGTGACTCATTTAAGTTTAAATATTGAATTTTGTGGATTACTGCAGGATTTTACCTTTATTTCTGATTTTTCCAGCAAATTCTTCTATAAATTTGGTTCAAACCATAGATTAGTGCTATTCAGAGTGAGTGAGTGAAACTGAAGTTATAACCTTTCTGGTTGACCTGTTCTATGATTTTCCTAATGCTTGCCTCACTCTATCCATGTAATTTGGCCACTGCGCTGCGTGAGAGCCTTATCCTCTGCAGTTGACATAATCTGTAACAGCCTTTTCGGGCAGTGTCTGCCTCAGCTCTCCATTTCACTTTATATTGCAGCTGAACCATACTCTGTTTCTTGTCCCTTCTTTACACCTTTTGTTTCGGTATTACTTAGTCTAAAGTGTTCTGAGACTTTATACTAAATAAAGTTGGATTAGGTGCTTCCCATTGATTTTGTTCTACAAGTGTGTGGTATTTATCACTGGTACGTATTTCAATCTCCTCTTTAATGTGTACTGATTCTAAGACTAATCTTTAACTTTCTTCCTCTGACTAGAGTATCATAAGAGTTGTGTTCCATGACAGAAGGTTGCAATATACAGAGCACCAGCAACTGGAAGGTTGGAAGTGGAATCGCCCTGGGGACAGACTTCTTGACTTAGGTACGTCTCTCAGTTCCCTTATTATCTAGGGTTAAAATAAGAGACTTAGTCTTTATATGAATAGCATCAATTTATATATCAACAGTGGGGATAGCAAAAGCATACATACCAATGTCTGTATGCTGCTTGTTGTGTTAGGATACTTGAGATTTATATAAATGTTTTCAATAATGTTACATTGTGAATTTTCCATGAAAACCTCTAATGGCCTTCATCTAACATTACAGAAAACAACAGCAACACTAAATAATTCAATTAATAACCCTTTTGTTCTTTGAGAGCAAAATGTGTTCTGGTAGTCAGGGGAACACGAGAGAAATCTCTTTATTGCTAATATACTGTAAAAATGTAATTATTGCAGATTTCATAAGATTTACAGTAAAACCCATGAGACCACCTCACATTATTCCCCAGAAATTAAGTACACATCTCCATCTTTATCAGAAAATCACTGTCATTAAACAACCAATTGTTTGTCATCCCTTGTGTGGTAATTTACAGTACATTTCACTGTAGATGAGTTTGCAGATTAATGGGTTTTTATTCGAAACAAACCATTCAAATCCTCGCTGTGTTCCTATAGCATATACTTTCATTTTTATGTAGATATTCCAATGTCTGTTGGAGTAATTGATCTAAAGACAAATCCAAGCCAGCTCAATGCAGTCGAATTTCTGTGGGATCCTGGAAAGCGTACATCCGCCTTTATTCAGGTTTGAGATTTTGCTTTACTGGATGTGTACTGATTTGGTCTTTGTCAGGTCATGAATGTGATGGTAGTTGTGCTATGTGATTCTTTCCTTTATAGATCCATCATTTTTGGAAACTTAGATCCATGCAACTGCTTCTTCTGTAGGTGATGCTAGCTGAGTTTTCATCTTGATATGAGAGTTTTAAACATAGCTTAGAACAGAAGCAGCTTTTTAAAACCGATCAATAAAATGAATATGAAAGTGTGTTTTAACTGAAAATTAATGATTAGCTCTTGCATCTTGTATGGATAAATATTTAGGGAGGTGTATTTTCAAAGCAGTTTTTGTAAATAACTGTTGTTACTTCAGTTCCAGTTAATAGGGCTCCTGCATGAGGACACAAATAGAACTGAATCTGCTTTACCAATAGAGAAAGCATTTGAAATCACTGGATTTCAAAGCAGATTTTCAGTTCTCTTACTTACCTGATTGATAAGATGTTAGCTTCTTGACAGATTGTTTATTATATTCAAGACAGGTTTTTTTTCTAAGTGATTTATTCCATGGAATTAGATTTCATTAGAATCCTTTGTATTATGCTATAGTCTTCCTTCTGGATAATTTTATCTCAAAAATCAGGCATTGGTATGAAGAAAAAGTGCAAAGCGAGAGGTGGCAATATTCCTTAGCCTGCTAAATCAGGTAGATTGTTTCCACGTTGGCAGTAGATAATGTTGTGCTACTGTACCTTGACAGTAATAATTCTTCCTTTTGTCAAGGAATTACACAATTGTTACAATGTCTGCTTCCATGTCAGGCTTTGCTGCAAGGGAGTAAAGAGTGTGTAATGAGCCATCCATTTTATGTTTGTTTGTACAGTTATATTTTCAACCATTCAGGATGTGCTAACAGCATGAAGAAAAGCTTAGTCAACTCTTACTGTTTGGAAGGTGGGAGTGCGCAGTGTGGTGGCATTGGTGATATACTAAGTATTTAATGCCCTACAACATTGTAACTGTTGTATTGTTTCCTAGTATAGCACTCTGTTCTTATTGGACCTTTTTACTGCCATGGTATTCACATGTCTCATTAAACCCAATGCCTTTATTCTGGTATTTTCAAAAAGCTGTAGGGAGTTAGGTATCAATTCCCACTGCCATTCATTGACACTTGGGCACCTACCTCCATTAGCATCCTTTTTGAAAATCCCAGCCTCAAATCAGATTTAAAAATCGTTCCAGTAAATGGTTTTGATAGAAATTGCAAGACATTATATTAAAGAAAATATACTTACTGTTCAGGCTAGCTAAATTATACCATTGTATACTGGAAAAATCTTTGAATTTATTCATCATGATTCATGTAGTTGTTCTGCTCTTATATTTGTCTTAAGATCTTGTATGAGAACTTGAGAGGGATTATTTTAGTTACATTTGATGAGGATCCACAACAGTTCTTTAATTTTGTGAAAGATATAGGAGTTAAAGTATTACTTTTTTGGGATTATATAGGTGATGTATTGATAGGTTTAAACCTGTCCCTATTTACTGACTTCCAAGCCTGTGCGGCTGGCAAAGATACAGGAATTTGTTCTTACCTGCCTTGGATTTCCAGGTTCATTTCCTGGATAAGCCATAAATTGTTGCTCACCCTGTCAGAGAAATTTATATAATGATGGTGGCAAAAGAATTAAGAATATGCCCAGAATGGAATACAGGTTCACTTTGTTTTTCAGGTACATTGCATCAGCACTGAATTTACCCCACGTAAACATGGAGGTGAAAAAGGAGTTCCTTTTAGGATTCAGGTTGACACTTTTAAGCAGACTGAAAATGGAGAATACACAGATCATTTGCATTCAGCCAGCTGCCAAATTAAAGTTTTTAAGGTAATAGTTGTAAATAATGGTCCCAAGTAAATTTTTTGTTTACATTATAATGGCTGATTTTTAGGCCCATATTTCAGTTGCAAAGCTGTTTTCTGTCTGCTTGCTCATGTAACTATTCATTTTTAGCCAAAAGGAGCAGACAGGAAACAGAAAACAGACAGAGAAAAGATGGAGAAGCGAACTGCACATGAAAAAGAAAAGTATCAACCTTCGTATGACACCACAATCCTCACAGAGGTAACAAGATGGAACTGCATGTATTTATGAAGAAAATTTATCTAGATACAATATAAGAAATATTAGCAGTAAATTATATTCTTAAAAAGGGGGGAGAATTACAGCATAAACATATAGACAAAGGTAGACTTTTTAATATAACAAACTTGTCCCAAAGAAAAACACAAGTAACCTTTAAGATTCTGCTGATAAATTTCACTTGGCTGTATAGCAGATATGGTACTCAAATACCCTTGGCTAGAGCACTGTTTGTGCTAAATTCTAAAACAAGTCTCATGTACAGATCTAAAAACCTTGCAGCTAAAAAACAAAACCTGGGGTTTAGGATTTATTTATACATGTCAAATTTGAGCTCAAAACCCTACTTTTAGAGACTACTGAGTTTATGGCTAGAGCCTCACTGGGTTTTTGCATTTTCTTTTTATTTAAACACCAGTGAGTTCTATACAGTTTTCTAAAGATTGCAAAAGTTTTTAAAAGGCTTTTAGATCTTTCCTCACTGTATAATGAAAAGAAATTGATCCAAATCTTTGGTGTTTGTCCAGATGAGGCTTGAGCCTATAATTGAAGATGCAGTTGAACATGAGCAGAAAAAGTCCAGCAAGCGGACTTTGCCAGCAGACTGCGGTGATTCTCTGGCAAAGCGAGGCACTGTAAGGGACTTCTGCTTACCTTTTCATTGTGCAAGATACCTTGTGCAGTGTTAGATATAGGAGAAACTTCCATGATCAAAAATAAAAACATATTTTGACTGCCTTGGCTTAATTTCATTCACTCTCGTTTACACCAATTACTCTGTTTCAGTGAGGAATGCTTCCTAAATCTAACACTTAAGACAAATTGTTGCAGAGGGACTGCGTGACTCTTTTTAAAAAAACCCAAGAGCTTTCAGTTTACACCTGCATTTCTTTATTGAAATAGCTAGATGTTTTTTAAAAGCTATTTGCTTTCTTTATATATATGTAATCAGTGAAAGTAAAGGTAATAGCAAAATTTAGTTAAAGCATGTATGTTTTGTCCCATATTTCCACCTGTGTTTAATGTAAGTTTCCATATACATCTGTACTTTTAAAGCCCCATGTATTGTTGCAGAGAGGTTGTCTATAGTGATATTACTTTGTTTCCTTTGGCCATTTGCATCTTGTTCTCCTCATGCTTAAGTCAGATACAGCGAGGCTTAATGTTATTGAGCACTACTTTTCTCACAGAATGTGGACCCTCTGTTTAATCCTGTATCTATCTGCTTTAAAGAGGCAAATATGTATATTTTACACCTTCCCTATCAAGTTTTAACCTGCCAGGTGTTTAAAATGACACTTATGGTGAACGATAAATATTTTCCGATATCTTTATTTCTAAGGTAGATCTTAGCAACTTATTTGTTTGGGCAAGTCATGGTCCTGCATCTGCCTCTTGGTGAATTTGGTCATATGTTAATGTCCACCCGTGAAAGTCAACTATTTGACTTAATTCACTGAACAAGCAAGTTTTGTTCGTATTTCCTTGACCCCTCTTCTTCAAAATCACTTATGTGACAATTAGCTGACTTTTGTCTATCAGTATTCCCTTCCCCCCTTTGTCATCCCTTTGTGTGCTATTCAGAATTCAGCTTGTACATTTCTCAAGGCAAGGGACCTGTTCATTCTTTCATTATGAAATGCCACTCACAACTGAGGCACTATAATAAAGCGAACACTGTAAACAGTAGGATGAATTCTTTGGAGAATTTTGTTTTACTTGATGCTGTAGTAAACACTGGGCTGTCTGGAATTACTTAAAGTTCATAGTAAAATACTGGCAACCTGGAATATGTAGTTCCTTAGCTGAAACTGTTACATTTCTTCTGCAGTATCCTTGTCAACCCAGACATTCTTCTGCTGTTGGGTAGGATGTCCATCAGCAGATGTATACAGGAAAAAAAAATTGGTGCTCAACATGTGTCTCTCCTTATAAAGCATGTTAACATTTCTAATTAGGTGGAGGCAGCTCTTCAGATGGCAAGGCTCGACTTCCAGTGTTTGGTTTTTTTTCATCTTTTTCCTTTCTGACTAAATTAGGCATTTTAGAGTATGGTAATGCCTAGGGAGTTTTTTCTGCCTGTACTCAGCAGGTGCTAAGTGCATGTTGCTGCTGCTGCTAGTTGTCAGGCAGGTGTCGTCCTGTGGGAAGGAGCTCTCCAGTTTGCATCCCTCTTAAGTGTTGGAAAGCCAGAGCTTAGTCTCTAGAAGAGAAAGACAGAACTTTCCTTACATTTGGCAAGAATAGACCTAGCCCTTTTCATAATGATTTCATTAGGTCTTCACTGCCCTCTTTCTTCCCTTGTAGTCAACACTCTTTAAGCCCAGGAGACACTTCTTGTTTTAATCCTTCAACTCATGTCCTCTCTGTCTCAAGGGAGGTCATGTAGAACTACAGGCTGAAGGCTTTCAATGATTAAAGGGCTCTATATTATGAGCCATACTCCTCGAACTTTATAATCTTTGCAAATGTGGAGTTTATAATATGCTGAACATTAAGTTTTGCAGGTGTAAGGCTTGTACTGTACAGAGCTTAATTCTTTTAAACAAAAGTTAATTGAAATACAAAATTAGACTACAAAAACTTCAGTTCATAGTACGCTTCACTTTTTGACTTGGTGTTTATGTAATGGGGAACATGGGCTGCTCATGCAATATTGTGTCCAACTATACTGCACCTCAGCTTAGCTCTTTGCTGAAGCCCAGGCTAGAGTTCTGTCTTTTAATGACTTCAAAAAACATGACAGTTAAAATTCAGGGCTATTTTATGTAAACCTTGATAAATGGATGTGAATAGTTCCCAGTCAGCTTCAGAGAGAGCACCATACCTTTTCTTAGTAAAACAAACATTTAATGCGCATAACATGGTAAATAGTATTTGGAATGCTGTGAATAATTTTTAAATAAAAGCTATTAAACCGTAGTCTGCTGGTGTTCCTTATACAGACTTCCCCCTTTTATTTCTGTTACAAACATTCAAATACAAGGTTTTAACATAATGTTTTCTGTACATTAGTGCACCTATCAAAACACATTCCCCTCTGATCTTCAAACAGGTGCTTTCTCGCTCTTTGTAGTGTGACCACAGTATGTCACCTGGACTCTTCAGAGCTTGAGAAATGGCAGCATTTCAGTCCTTTCAAACACTTCAGAACCCTGTCAGCAAACAGTGTGGGCCTCCACAGCTAGCAGCATTGTAAGCCTTGGGTTAATAGCTGACAGGTGCTCTCAGTTGTGAGGAAACGGAAATCTGCAGCCCATGTCCAAAGTGGATCAGGGCTTGGGACCTAGCCCTCACAGCAGATAGTCTCTTGGTTCTGTGTCAGTCACCTGTTGAGTCCATGGGGCCACTTTTAGCACCTCTGTTTATGACCACCTCATCTAATGCTTTATGATTGGCTCAGCTCTCTGAGGGTGACTAGAGTATGATTGCTGGTGAGTAGCCCACAGTGAAAACTTCCTATACAGCCTCAGAACAGCAACTGAGTGTCTGATATCTACTACTCTGTTCTGGAAGTTTCTGGGTCTTTCTGAGTTACTATGCCGTACTCTCTGCACATGTGCAGACACTCAGTATCCAAGTAAGATCCTCCATGTTACCATATCTCCTTCCTCCACACTGCTGCATTCTCTTCTGCTCCTCTGGAGAAACAAAGCCAAATGATGCAGTATAAAGCATATGTGTGGGTTACACTTAATTTTAAGGTTATCATAGTAACCTTTGGTTGGCTCTATCGCATGTACCTCGTACTTCTTTGTGTTTGTTTCGTCTTAAATGTATCTTTTAATATATCCAAGTTAAATGCCAAAAGTACAGGATGTGCAGCATAGCTGATTTAGCATTATGGGGACAGTAACTTCCTCATTTTCTGGCTCTGTGTTTAAAGTAACTTACTACACAAACAGAATTTTTACTTGTATATGGTCATGTTAGACTAAAAGCTATTTGGGACAGGAACCCTATATTTTTATATGTTCTTTGACATGCCATTATGGGGGCTCTATAAATAGTCATGCTGATCAAGCAGCACACACTCTTAAATCTGAAAAGTGACTTTGTTCCTGAGAATAAGGATCTTATTTAGGGTAGTCATAAAAAGGCCTCTAATTTTTTTCATTCATTGCTGTAGTTATGATACTTTGGATAGGGAGTGGACTTCTCCCAGGACCCACCATCTTTGACTTTTTAGGTAACTTTGTACCTTCTCAAAACATAAATTCAGAGTGAATTTCAGTGTTTTGGGAGTAGGGAGAAAACAGCTCTGGGAAGTGGCTCCAAAGGACCTGATGAACTAGAAGGTATCTGCAGTGCTTAAGAGTTTGTGTTCAGGGGCATCTGTGTGCAAATGGCTCTCTGACACATCCTGGACCTTTAAAAAGGTAGTTACAAACCTTGGAAGATGATGTTGAGCCTTCTTTCTCCAAGGCTGTCTTCATTTTAGATCAGATGGCAACTTCTCGAGACCCTAACTGTGAGGTATTTGGGGCTTCCCACTGTAGTATGGCAGCATCTCTTAGTACTTACTGTTTGTTTGTTTTTCTGACAATGGATTTGGTCCAGATTTTGTCAAGAGCAGTCTTTCTATTTTCTCTGAGCAGAATACTACTTTTGGGGAATTACTTAGTTCACATTATGAAATTTAAGAATCTGAGCATGGGCTTCTAGGTCCTCTTAAGGTTAATCCTTTTGTCCACGGTCTGAGCCATGATATAATGAAGGGAACCAGAGTCTTAGAGTCATGTTCCTTCTCATTTGCAAATGTATCTTTGTGCATTGCCTCAGTCAAAGGGGAATTCCAGCATCCTTATTCCAAGGCTGCAATAAATCCATCAGAATATGATCTCCAAATTTGTACAGCAGTATCCTCTCTGTAATCCTGAGTTCAGACAGCACTGCTGTCAGGGTCACTTCAGTGCTGCTTGCTTTTTATTTTTATTTTTTTTTAGAAATTTCACTTTCTATAGCATGGAGGCGTTTCATTTGGCAAAAACCTCAGTTCTTAACCAAAACATTTGAAACGTTTATTCTTTTGATATAATACAAAAGGTGCCTTCTTACTTGGCATCCCTTTGAGTCTCATCTTGTAAGTTGGTCTCCAAGCACCTGGGACTTCAGATCTTGGTTAACTATTTCATCATGTTCCTGCCAAAGCTGTTCAGCTAACTTCAGTTTCAATTAATATTTCAGAATGCCCGTGTAGTTCTGAATTTGCATAATTCTGTAATGCAAGCAAATGGTAAGAAAATGACCGAAGAAAGCTGTGAACCCATCACCCCAGGTCTTTAGGAAACTGAAGGACTGATTAATCTGGAAGACCTCAGGGGGGCCCTCCAGCTGCAGTGGGAAGCCCTTACTGACCAATATTCTCCTCCTATTACCTTACCTTATCTATTGTGGAGGGCAGCCTGCTATGGCACAAGGGTTTATCTGTTGAAGGGTTAAATAAACAAACTATATCTGTATTACAATCCCTTTGAGTTGAACATTCCAAGTAAGGTTAGGAAAAGAGAACCTACCTTCAGGGTGCACACTACAGAGTTGGTTTTTCTTGTCCATTCAGTTGCCCTTATTTTAGAGATCTGAGCATTCTTTTAAGTGTTGATTAAAAGAGGGGGAGGGATAGCTCAGTGGTTTG